AGTGGAGTTTGGGATGGTGGGGACGAGGGGATGGGGGAATGGAGAATAATGGGGAGGGCAAAGGGACAGGGGATTGGGGCATGGTGGGAAGGAAGAGGGGATGGTGGAGTGGGGAATGGGGGGGAGGATGGGGGGACGGTGGAGTGGGGAATGGTTAGGAAGCCGAGGAGACGGGTGAGGGGGGAATGGTGGGGAGGACTGGGGAACAAGGATGGTTACTGTGGCTCAGCAATGCGCATGCTGAGCCACAGCAACACATGGCCGGGTACTGCTAGTTATTCAATAAATTTCAATGTTTATTTACGTCCCCATGTTGCCTTAGTCATCTACCACAGATTCGGGACATTCATTAAGTGGGTACTAACCTACTAACCCATAAATATAACTTCAGGATAGAGAAAAAGGTGCATGCTAGTACTAAGACCTGAACTACGACCCGAGTTTTCTCCCCTCGGAGTTATGTTGGAAATAACCAACAGTTTCATACATCCATTGTATTTTTATACAAGCCTTGTATTAACCACAAGTGGTTACTAAAATCACTGTAACTTGTAGATTTAATCATCATTATGATTTATATTAAACATATTGCCAGATTCTTCCTAGTCAGAGTGATGACATGAGGAACGACAGGCAGAAACATGAATTCTTTCCACATTTAGTTGGATTTATAACAGAGTCCAGTTTATTAATTAATTTACTAAAAATAATTTCTTACTAATAAGTTTATTTTCATAGCATAATACTGCTTACTGGAACTCCATTATTTAGCTGATAATAAACATTCTAGAGGAAATTATTTAATGTAAATGATTTCACTTTAATTTCCTCGATTAGATGTGGGACTTTAATAAACCCACTTTATGATATGCGAAGTTATATTTTAACACGGAAGAATTAAACGTGACATCAATACTCGTCACCATCTCTTCTTTCCTTAATTAATTCCGATATATATATATAAATCCATTTACGCTCAAGATGTCTATCGAGAGCCACACATGCGCAATCGGGAAGAGGAAGAAGACGAGAGAACGTCGCCCGCCACCATGCGACTCAGATGCCATTAGCAAGAAACAAGAGAGATCTATGTATCGATCTTGCTAACAGTTTGTATTTCGCTCTCACGACTAGCAGAGCGGTACCACGTTACTTCGCACATCACGGCAGTGTCCTAGGAACTAATAATTACTCCAACCCACAAGTATCGTCTTATCACGACAGCTGAGGACGAGGGATCTGGAATCGTTCCTACATCTGTGGACACTCGGCCCGGCAACTAATAATTTTCTAAATTATAATATTGTGCACATGTTTATATTTAGACTAGTTGTTGTTAGGTGTTAGTGTTATGATCCCAGGCAGCCGAAAAACGAGTCTCCCCTTTGAGAATTATTCTATCAGGCCTGACCTGACTAGAAGGTCTAGGAAATATAGAGGTGAAGATACAGATGTAAAACAATTGGTTGGATTTGATAGACAATTTAAGATAATGGGCAGTGAATAAGAAAATAAGTAAATGACTTGACACAAGATGTGGAGAGTTTGGTGGAAGTGTGAGGCTCGCTTGAGAGGAGCTTAAGTCCCTTGAGTACCAGACATCGTGAGGGGAAGCTGCACTCCGTGTGAGCTCCTGTCAGAGAGGAACCCCTAGGTGATATGCCTTCAAGAGAAAGGAAGTGTGCAGACGTTCCAGCTGTGGAATTGAGCTGGGAAGTGTGGTCTCAAGTCCTGGACGGCAAGGAGAGTTTGTTAAGCCGCCCAGAGACATTATCGTGGGCCATGGGAGCGCCCTGGTGAGATTCCGCCAAAGGGAGAGCGCCCTATAGGGGACCTTTTTGTGGCAAGCACAATTTTAACCAGTTTACAGTGATTGCCGGTAATTGATCGTGTGACCAGCGATCATAGCGAATGTTTATTGATACGTTAGACATGTTTTGGTAAGGCAGGAAGCCTAAATAAGAGGACGGAGATGAGAGAAACAGCTGGAGGGACGAGCAGCATGTCCTCTCCCGTCGATCGCCAGGAGCCAACTGACCAGCGGCGGAGGACCTCTCCCAGAGTGAGGAGCCGCCCGCCGGGCATGGCGGAGCATGAACCAGCCCAAACAGGGGAGTCCACTCTCACAGTATGTAGAGAGCAAAGAGATGTTAGGTGCGAACATATTGTGTAGTTATTTTCGTTTATGTGTTTAAGGGGTAACCTTTTTATTCGCAAGTCAATGGGTTGCAGATTTGTCTTTGGAAGGAGTTGCTGAGAGAACTTCGAGGCCAGTAGAGAAGGATCCAGTGGATGGAACTCCAAGGATATTGAAGAAATACTGAGCTCTGTGGAAGAGCAGACCCTATAGTGAGGAGTTGGACCTCAAGCTGTGAGAGGAGAAGCAGTGGAGAAGAGTTTACATGCTTTTGTGATACCAGTGGTGAAGCACCATTGTTGATCAAGGAAGACTTCTTGGTGTAGCAGCCAAGAGCGCTGTGGAAGACCTTGGTAGAAGTGGTGAAGCACCCCTGTTGCTCAAGGTGTAGCAGCCTGGAAGAGCTGCAGAGGATCCTTGTAGATAAACCCGGAAGAACCTGAAGATGTCAGGGTAGTGAGCTTCGAGATGTGGAAGGGAAGTTCTGGTTGATTACTTGCAGGGAGTTGGTAGAGTGTTCGGTTGTCATTAGCGTGCAAGACGCAGTGAAAGGTGAGTGATTGTTTGCCATTTTTGTGCCAAGGAGTACTTATACTGAAGTATAGGGTTACAGTCGTAGGCTGAATTACCTACAGAGACATACATATGTGTTCTAGGACTGATAGGGTGATCGATTGATCATTGTTGTATATCAAGGAACATTCATACTAATATTTATGTTATTGCATTCATACGCTGGTTTTCCTTGCACATGTTTATAGATATATATTCTCTTGCTGATTGTGCAACATTGTGTTATAAGACTTGACCTACTTGAGGAGGTTGGTAGTATTAGGTGGTGAATCAGGAGATAGGATACCACTTGATAAGCAGATGATAGAGTTCTGATGGTGTTGGAGTGCAACCTGACTGAAATAGTATAGAGTGTAGGATTCATTATTATTATATGTGTGTATGTATTGTGTATGTGCTTTGTCCAGTAAATGTATTCAAATTTGCTGGTGTTTGCCCTTGTCCTAGTGAGGCTTCCCAGGAAGTAGGAAAGAAGGAGAGAGAAAGAACCAAGAAGCACAGCTGTGGACAGGGTAGAACGGAATAATAATAAGTAAAAGGGGATTGAAGAGATCATATCACATAAGAAGAGAGTGGGGAGTCACAGCGGCTCGAGTGGGTGTGTGCATGTGACAACAAGGCTAAGTGTTGGAGCCGCATCCCCTAAACTTGTGATGTTGAGCCACTCTCCAAGAGCTATAAGCGCCCAGGGTGATCTCCTGGTAAAGTATATGCACTCCACCGAGTTGTGGGTTGGGTTGTCCATAAAGAAGGATCAAATACAACACCAACCTAAATACAGGCACCTTAAATAAATTTAGTTTTGACTTCACCACAAACACAGGGTGGATAATGTCCTTCCACAGTAGTTCACTAATGGTTCGAACATGAAATAAACATACATATATCGCTATCGTTACATATATGATAATACTGGCGATCTCCTAAAAATAAATTAATAATAATAATTATGATCTAACTTCACCTAATTCAATGGAAATGAGGAGGGAAAGATTATCCATCTTAACTCTCTCTGCTACAAATAGTCGTAGGCTTCTCCTTGTAATGGCAGCTGGTGTTCTTTGATCGCTGGTCAGCTCCTCTTTGACAAGGATCTTGCTCGTGAGAGGTCTCTTGACGACTTGTAGCTTAGCACGTCATCTCTGTGCTTGATTCCTCTCACTGCAGATCCCTCTTCTAACACTGCAGGCTGACAGTGCTTAAATCTTCCTCCCTTGTATCATAAACTCGTTGTCTGTTCCCAATGGTCTTGTATAGTGTCCATACACTGCACCGTGGATTAGACAGCCCGTCAGCCTAAATTATACAAGTGTATGACCTGCAGGAACGTTTACACAGCTCCTCCCAGTGCCCGCACACACGATTGTAGAACTTGTTGACCTCTAGCTCCCAGTGCCCACTTCACCAACTGAGCTATGCCTTCTTATACTCCCAGGGAGTTGACAAGCCTTGTTAGACATCTGGGTAATAACTGATGCTGAATAATCCACTGCTTGAGGCTCCCTGGTCACTCAAACTGAAGAGCTCACGAATGCACTTCCGCTCGTTGTTGTAGCTGGTGGAGCTCTGCTCGGTGTCGTAGCTGGTAGAGTTCTGCTCGTTTTCCCTGCTTTGAGTCGCGGGCGCCAGACAACCCACTACATCACACCATGGGGCGCCGCTCAATTGGTTAACATTGCCCACCCCTGCACTGACCAATCACAAAGCAGCTGGCGCTAATCTCGCAATGCAATTCGTCCTGGCCTCCTCCGGCGGGGAGCGTTCCTCCCACCGCCATATTTGTTTCGGTAGAAAAGGCCTAAGCCACACTCAAAACCAAATAAAAGTCGTATTTTATCACAACCGACAACTCAGGCTATCCTTTAAATGTACAAAACTTTTTCCTGGGCATGAGAATATTACAGATTTGGGTGATATGACTCTTACTGCTGGAATAAGGAAAATATAGGACTGGGAACGATAACAGCATACATATGCATACATATCTTAATTGATATATATTACTTCTTCTCTGACAAATCTCAAAGTTTATACATGTTCTCCTCTTGTTGACTTGAGAAAAGGATTTTATATATGGCCAAATTGCTGTTTCCTTCGTAAAAGTTTATTGTACTGATGTTACGAAAACAGTCTACTTAATTTATCAACCATTAATTGTCCATGAATATTTATGTCCGTTCTCAAGAACAAAATTATTTTTCCTTTGGTTTCGTACGGTAATATATTTCAGTGCTTGAACAATGGGTCTACATTTCATAAATATAAATATATCAACAATATCTGGACTTACACTGATACAACAAAATGCGGAGGAAGGCGGATGTGGGCGGTACGATATAGTTGTGTCCGTGGGTGTTGGGTGAGAAGCACGAGGCCATGAGCAGGGTCGTCAGGGGCAGTACCAGCAGCGCCCCCAGGATGGCCGCCCACACCAGCGGCTCCAGAGGGAACAGGAAGCCCCACGGGTCCACCTCCGGCCGGCCTCGAGCCCCAAGAATCCTACCGTAGTCAGTTAATATTGGCACTGTGAAGTCCACCACCTCAGCTCGGACTGCACTTACGCCGAAGGGGCCGACCGCTACATCTATTTCCTTTATTTTATTAAAATAAGTCGAAATAAATAAATGTAGAAAAATTTGAATATAATCAATCATGTAAAGCATTCTAAACATAAAGTTCTTGTTCAGTATTACTGTGATCACTTTCGTCTTTTCCATCAATATTTCTTTATTAAGTAAATATATGTAGCTTCATTACAGAGTGAGGCAAGGTATGTATATATATATATATATATATATATATATATATATATATATATATATATATATATATATATATATATATATATATATATATATATATATATATATATATATATATATATATATATATATATATATATATATATATATATATATATATATATATATATATATATATAATATATATTAAATATTATTATAGTATAATGTGCAGATATAACGTGGGAATCAGAGCTAAGGGGAAAGACGGCCAAGACATGATGGAATACATCACACAGAAGTACAAGGAGGTAACAGAAAAGTTTATCCCGGCCCAAAAGATAAAAAATGAAATGCAGATGAGAAACCCATGGTTTAATCAGAGATGTAAGCAAGTTAAGCAACAAACTAAAAGAGCATGGAGAAACTATAGAAACAACAGGACACTTGAGAGCAGAGAAGGTTACCAGAAAGCCAGGAATGAATACGTCAGGGTGAGAACAGAGGCAGAAGGGCAATATGAAAACGACATAGCAAGCAAGGCTAAGACCCAACCCAAATTGCTACACAACCACATCAGGAGAAAGACAACAGTGAAGGAACAGGTAATGAAATTGAGGACAGAGGCAGACAAATTCACTACAAGCGACAAAGAAGTGTGTGAGGAACTCAATATGAAATTCCAGGAAGTCTTCACATTAGAGCAAGGAGAAGTTCCAAAGATAAGAGAACGAATATTTAACCAGACACCACTAGATCAATTTGAGATTACCAGTATAGATGTAAGGAACCTTTTGCTAGAGTTGGATGTTACAAAGTCTATAGGCCTGGATGGAATATCACCATGGATACTAAAGGAAGGAACAGAAGCACTGTGCCTGCCACTCTCCATGGTGTATAACAAATCACTGGTAACAGGTGAACTGCCAGAAATTTGGAAGCCGGCAAACGCAGTCCCGATATACAAGAAGGGGGATAGACAGGAGGCACTGAACTACAGGCCAGTGTCCCTAACTTGCATACCATGCAGCTAATGGAGAAAATTGTGCGAAAAAAAGCTAGTCAAACATCTGGAACGTAGGAACTTTGTGTCACAACACCAGCATGGTTTCAGGGATGGCAAGTCATGCCTCACAGGATTAATTGAATTCTACGACCAGGCAACAAGAATCAGACAAGAAAGAGAGGGGAGGGCAAACTGCATATTGCCAGAAAGCCTTTGACACAGTTCCACACCAGAGAATAGTGCGATAGCTGGAGACGCAGGTAGGAGTGAAAGGGAAGATACTCCATTAGATAAGGGAGTACCTAAGTAACAGAAGGCAGTGAGTCACTGTGCGGGGTGAGGTCTCAGATTGGCGAGACGTCACCAGTGGGGTCCCGCAGGGTTCAGTTCTTGGACCCATACTGTTTCTTATATATGTAAATGATCTTCCAGACAGTATAGAATCATTTCTCTCCTTGTTTGCTGATGATGCAAAAATTTTGAGGAGGATTAAGACGGAGGAAGAGAGTATGAGACTACAAGATGACCTAGACAGACTGCATGAACGGTCCAACAAATGGCTACTAAAGTTCAACCCGAGTAAATGTAAGGTAATGAAACTAGACAGTGGAAACAGGAGGTCAGACACAGGATACAGAATGAGAGATGAAGTGTTTTATGAAACGGTTAGAGAGAAGGATCTAGGAGTTGATATCACACCAAACGTGACTCTTGAAGTCCACATCAAAAGAATAACATCTGCAGCATATGCGAGGCTGACTAACATCAGAACTGCCTTCAGGAACCTGTGTAAGGAGTCATTCAGAACCTTGTATACCACATATGTAAGACCATTCCTGGAGTCCGGGAATATGCGGCCCCAGCATGGAACCCATACCTTGTCAAGCATAAGGCGAAGGTTGAAAAAGTCCTTAGATATGCCACTAGGCTAGTACCAGAACTAAGAGGCATGAGTTACGAAGAAAGGCTGCGAGAAATGCACCTCACGACACTAGAAGACAGAAGAGTAAGGGGAGACATGATCACCACCTATAAAATTGTCAGATGAATTGACAGGGTAGATAAAGATAAACTGTTTAACATGAATGGTGTGCAAACAAGGGGACACAGTTGGAAACTGAGTACCCAAATGAGCCACAGGGACGTTAGAAAGAACTTTTTCAGTGTCAGAGTAGTTAACAGATGGAATGTATTAGGCAGTGATGTGTTGGAAATTTCCAACACCGAATACAACACTGTTGTATTCTCATTAATTATTACTAACTCTACTAATCATTGTAGTGAGTAAAATTAACCCAACGTAGAATTCTCATGTACTAATAATTACATCTGTACAGTAGGCTAGAATTCTCACGTCACCCGACGCCAGTATTGCGTCAGATTCTATTGTAATAAACACATTTATATCCAATGTATCTGAGAATTGAATTTGATTCTCTATAAACAAGGTGTTCTGTGTGATAATTAATTACAGATAAATTGATCTCCAACTAAAGCCAAATAGAGCGTTTATAGTCATAGCTGTTATCTAGTAGTAAAATTAACGTCACGCGTGAATGCCCTGGAGAGACTTTAATTCATTTCCATTGTTCGTTTACTATCATAAAACGGGCAAATAATAATATTTAACTCCTCCAAATAATAAACTTGTCCAGTCCCGTGCATTTCAATCACAAATGTGAGAAATGATAATATTCACAATAAATAATTTGAGTAACAAACGCGGGACGCGGGGCAGGAGGGAGGAGACTCCAGTCCACGTGGAGAGCGCTCACGAGTAGACGTGTTCACGTGGTGCTCACGAGGAGACGCCATTACCCAGCCATCAGGGTAGACGCTATCAAATCTCAGAAGAAAGTCGCCACTGTGAGGTGTGAAGAACCTTTGCAGACAATACCTTCACCTGGTGTCAGTGTCATTTACGGAACCTGTTAAATTTGGTTCTATGTAACTCCACGTGACCGGCCAGTGAAGCGCGCCAGTATCTAGGATAGACTAGACCGGAGCCTGGGGACGCGAATTTCGGCAATCTTAAAACTTATACAGTGCCCATATTAGCTAAGTACCTTGATCTTTATTTGATGCATCTTGTAAAGTGTGGGTGTAGTAGCTGGGTGATTGTCCGTGACGACGCATGACAACATCAAACTACAGGTTATTATTTTCCTCACCTGTAACTCTCGTTTTCTTGAATATAGAGATTCAGTAGTTTAATTAGTTGCTACTGTAAATAATTTGTCTTACAGCACGTGAGAAGAATTCTCCCTGCCGCCTTCTCCCATGTTAATCCACTCCCATTCGTCAGCCATGCCGAGTAAAGGAGAATTAGAGGAATCGTCGTGGCTTACATCTGGGAATCGTCATTAAGCTAAGATTCTTTGTATTCATTGATGAACCTATCTGTATTACTTACATGCAGAATTTCTTTGGATTAACATGTGTTTATTGTGACTATCATTATACATATTCATAATCTATGTTCCCATTAATGGTAATGACATTAGTTTCACTATAATTCATAGGATTAGATTATTATACTTTGGATTAGTGAACGAACCACACTAGTTCCTGGACGTACTGAGTTCCAGTAATACCCCCCCAATGTAGGTGTTTGAGGGTTTGATTCATTTAATTATACAGCCCATTAATTATTTCTATGATCATATTCTCTAGTATTTTATCCATAGTTACTGGTTCATCTAGGAATTTTCTAATGATCAGAAATTCTCAGTTTCCCTCTTTACTATAAAAGCGGGTGGTCCTTCGTAATTAATTTTACTACATTAATATTTAAATAATTAGATTCAAGCCCCAAATGTCCCACATTATGGTCCTTCGAACCGGATAAACATTAAATTTATAATTAAAATACTAATCATTAATAACTAATCCTTGTGTGATGTAAGCAAGACTAACTATTTAATTAATTGTGTCAACTAACAGTGTAACACATAGGTTAGTCTAGATCACACCAACACATTGCTACTTTCACCTCATGTATAAGGTAGCTTTCGCGGGTCATAGCCAATTACCCACAACACTTAGACCTACACTTCATACTGAAGTAGAATCTTTAGGTCACCAGGAGCAACAGCTCATAACCTTATATTAATCACTAACACCAATTAAGTGTTAACCATTTAGGCTATACAAATGTTTCAATATATGGCTGTCAACAGACTGTCCATTATAGCCTGAATCCATGTTATAATTACTGATTCACTCAAGTCAGTGGATCATTAACATTTAGGGATCCAGTATACTAATATAAATTACTGATCTCATACTAGTTAATCATTACTAACCCTGATAACATTTTATTCCACAATTAGGAGTACATTCAGGAGTTAGATAATATTTACGGCAGTAGAATACTTGCCAAACACAATTAATTCCTTTGTGTTCATTTAATTTCTTATACACATAATTATACAAGTGTATATTATATAAAATCCAAAAACCCCAAAAACACAGCACAATTATTTGCACATTACTGCACCACAATATAATCTTTGCCAACCTTTATTAGGTAGCAATTTAGGCTGTGATTGTGTTGAATTTGGCACAAGCATAGACTAAATATAGTTGTAGTTTCTTAAGTAGAAATTCTCACGACTAGGCTTGAGCTAGTTAGTGACACATATATTATTCTTTTTGTGCTGACCCTATCAAGGGTGGGATTAACCATTTATTGTGTAATTATTTTATTGCATATTTCTATGTATGTCTTTGAGTGTTACTGTAAGTCCACTACCCATCCGAGGCTGATTTAGAAGAGCTAAGCTGAGGAACACCTGTAGTGAGACCAAGGTACCACTCAAATCTTAGTTGCTTATTATTAGGT